CAGTTTTTTTCGACATACTAAAATTATAAACAATTGACTTTAAGAACTGTAACGAAATCTCTTTGCTGGGAATTTTTTTGGGGCGTTGACTCTTTTGCTGGGAATTTGCCTAAGTTATCTGTATTGATATAAAATCTCTTATTGGTTAGCATGTGGGCCACAAACGGTGATTAACAAGGGTTTTGGGTGCTTTACGAGGGGTATCAATTTTTTTTGTTTTTTTGGTGATTGTATGGCGATCCAGTGCAATGTGGCATCAAAGTGCTTGGACTTGAATTGTTAGTTTTATTAAACCATACATATTATTCCTATCATCATGTAGGGCTGGTCGCGGATCAGTTTTGGCCAGGTGCGGGTCAAAACTGACCCGACCCGCACACGTGCGGGTTGAAGAAAACAGACCCGCAACCGCCCGCAGTGCGGTTCGCGGTTTGTGCGGGTGGGTCAGTTGGTTGTGCGGGCGGGTGCGGTTCGGTTTGTGGTTTGGGTTTTTTTTTTAATTGGGCTTAGTTATGATATTAATTTGAACAAATTTGACATGTTGGGCTACTTTTTAAGCACTTTTTTTTTTTTATGGAAAAGTTATAAATTAAATTTCATTATAACATAAATGCCCATATAATGATATAATAAATTTTACATTCTTTCAAAATACAAAAATAATTGATAAAACTAATTACAAACTAAAACAACATTAAAATTCACACTAAAATCAATCTCCATCCATCCATAATCCAAAACTTACCTAAATTTTACATTCATCCAAAATGCAAAAATAATAATAATAACTAGTTATCTCCATCCATCCATAATCCAAAGTTTACCTAAGTTTTACATTCATCCAAAATGTAAAAATAATAATAATAATAACTAGTTATCTCCATCCATCCATAATCCAAAGTTTACCTAAGTTTTACATTCATCCGAAATGTACAAATAATAATAATAACTAGTTAGAAACTAAAATAAATTAGTTTTCATCCATCCATCCATCCATCCATCCAAAATCTAAAGCTTACCTAAAATTTAGTGCTCCAATAAATTTTACATTCATCCAAAATAAAAAAAATAATAATAAAAATTAGTTACAAACTAAAATAACATTGTCTACAAACTTCATCCAAAATAATTTCAAAAGGTGGTATCCAAGGCTTCCATAAACTCTTTAGGTCCAATGTCCAATGTCCAATCTCATCCAACAATCTACCAAAAAAATTTCCAATGAGCCAAATGAATAAATATAAATAAATAGATATACATAAATAAACATTAATCTGATCTCAACTAATTAGAAAAATCTCACACATGAGCCAAATGAACATTAAAGTTCAATTATAGCATCTACATTAGACTTTGGGGTTGAAAATGAACATGGCTCCAAAGTACCTAAAAGCATGAGTCAACAAGAGAAGATAAATAAACTTGCATAGTAAAAATAATAATAGAATTAAAAATGAAGAGATATTCACATATTACTCGAGTCGTATTGCTCAAATTCCTCCACATCATCCATTGCTTTTTGAAGAGAAATTGGAAGGTTGCTTTTAAGCCAATTTTGTGTGCATACAAGAGCTTCAACCATGGAAGGGGCAAGTGAACTACGGAATGGATCAAGGATACGTCCCCTGGTACTGAAAGCCGACTCCGAAGCAACGGTAGAAATGGGCATGGCCAACACATCCTTTGCTATTTGAGATAACACTCTATTCTTTGTTGCATTATTCTTCCAATATTCCAATATCTCAAATGTCTGATTTTTTGCAAAATGTTCAACCTCACCCAAGTACTTGTCTAATTCCGACCTGCTTCCACTAGTGAAGCGCCCTTCCAAATATGAATTAAATTGGGACTCCATTTGAGAATCCAAATCATCCTCATCAATCACCATTGTCTCCACTTCAGTCACCCTCGAGACACTCTCATTTGATGAATAAATTGTGGCATAATTGTTGTACAAACGAGTCAAACAAGAAATAATTTTGTTCACCATCTCATCCACCTTCCTCTTATCTCCATGAAATATATTTGTAAAACAAAACTCCAAGTATGCTTTCTTTTTTGTAGGATCAAGGGCAACAGCAACATACAACAACAAATTAATCTTATTTCCATCCCCCCAATATTTGTTGAACTTTTGCTTCATACTCATAGCCATTGTGCACAAAACATCATCATTGTCCAAAATTAATTGATTAATTGTGCTTTCAATTTTAAACATCTCTTTATAAAATGCATTGGAAGTAACAAAAAGGGACCCGGAAAATTTCTTTGTTGCAAGGTAGAATAGTTTTAAAAATCTCACAAACAACCTACATTTTTTCCAATCCTCCTCATTTGGAATCCTCCTAATCCCACCATCAACATCCTTGAAGCAAGTTTCAAAATTGGAGTCTTCATACTTCAAACGGTTAAAAGCCTTCTCAAACTTTTCAGCGGCCTCCAACATTAAATATGTGGAATTCCACCTTGTTGGTACATCTAGGCATACAAGAGCAGTAGTCACAAGTTTTAGATAGGCCGCACACTTCTTAAAAGCATCTTGCCGATTAGGAGAAGACCTCACATACCTAACCGCAAGTCTAATATTTGCAATAGAATCATCCATTTCCTTCAATCCATCACTCACAACAAGGTTTAGAATATGTGCACAACACCGCATAGGCAAAAACTCATGCTCCAAAATGGTTCCCTTCCAATCTTTGGTATTCCTTCTCAAGTATTGAATGGTAAGATTGTTGGAACTAGCATTATCAACAGTTACAGTGAAGATACTATCGATGTTCCACTCAAGCAAGCATTACTCAATTTTTCTACCCAAAGTTTCCCCCTTGTGATCTTCAACTTGTTGGAAGTTTATGATTCTTTTTTGTAGTTTCCAATTATCATCAATGAAATGAGCCGTTAGACACATGTAACACAAATTTTGAATAGAAGTCCAAGTGTCCGTAGTGAAACAAATTCTACGACCCTTCATTAACCTCCTCAATTTATCCCTCTCGTTGTTGAATATGTTTGTCACCTCTCTTGCTATGGTATGACGAGATGGGATTGGTGTGAATTTAGAAACGGCAACATTACAAAATCTTTTAAACCCAACTCCCTCCACAAATCGAAAAGGTAACTCATCAATAATCACCATCTCGGCAAGAGCCCTTTTACAAGCATCAAAACTAAAACTTGTTGCCACAACCTCAACACCCTCTTCGGCATTTTGTTTTGGTTTAAAACTCAATGTTTGTTGCCCATCTTTATCATTGTTTGGAAATTGTTTGCAATTAGGGGTATGACTTCTCAAATTACTAGTCCCATGAGTCCTAGAATCGGCCATATACTCTTTATAACAATACTTACACACTGCTCTACGTTTCCCATCTTCTCCTATAACCTTATCAAAATGGTCCCAAACCGAGGATGGTGCTCTCCCACCACTACTCTCACTCTTTCTTTTGTTCGGGGGTTTAGGAGGCTTAAATTCAGATGGGGAAACATTAGTTTGAGAATTAGATGATTCTAGTGGAACAATAGGGCTTCCGGTAGATTCAACACTAGCATTGTTATCTTTATCCATTCAAACTGGTAATAAAAAATTAAAAATGTATGAGATAACAATTAAGTCATGGTATAATAATTGAATCTAAACCATATACAATACCATACCAATACCATTTTGATTAAATTTATGGATAAATAGTCAAATAACATGTCTAACTTCATCACTATTGAAAAGATGTTTTTGTCTCCCCTTGGAGCTTTCAAGAGGGATTTCACATCCAACAAGGGAAACATAATAATTAATTATTTATTTTAAAGTAAATTCATTTCTGTCCCTTTTTGCATACAAGAAAATTCATCATTAATACAAGAAGAAAGCATATATAGAGCACATTACTCTGTCAAAAAAAATACAAAAAAGAAAAAAATAATAATTAAGCAGCTTACTCTATTTTTGTCATGAAAAACGAAAATAAAACAAATGAAGAAAGAACAACATGAATAATTCAAATTTAAAAAAAAAATAAAGTGGGGAACAAGATTAAAATTAAGATTTTTATTTTTATATTTTATAATTTTAAAAAGGGAGGGGATATTTTTTATAATCTTGTTATAGCTTGTTTTGATTGCCACAAAAAAATAAAATAAAATAAAATGTTGAAATCACTATTGAAAAGATGTTTTTGTTTAAGCAGACTGTCATTTTGGTGGTTGAATCCATTGCTCAAGAAAGGAAAAGAGAAAATTCTTGAGGACAAAGAGATACCAAAGTTGAGGCAAACAGATCAAGCAGAGACATGTTACAAATACTAATGGATCAGCTTGCCAAATCAAACAGAGAGCCATCAATCGAATGAAAGAGAGAGAGAGAGAGAGAGAGAGAGAGAGAACCGTACAGGGCTGTGTTGCTGCGGATCGCCGGTTGATTTGCTGCTGCCGATTGCCGGTTGCTTTGCTGCTGCCAATCGCCGGCGTCTCGCCTCGCCGCCGCTGCTGCTGCTGTCGATCGCCGGCGTCTCGCCTCGCCGCCGCTGCTGCTGCTGCTAGGGTTAGCGGCTGCTGCTAGCTAAGGAAGGTAATGAAAAGGGGGGGAGGAGAGAAAGAGACGGGCTGGGCAAAAACAATAAGAGCCTGCCCTAATAAGTAATAAATAAATAAGGTTTATTTTGTAAATATATATATATATAAATATATTTTTTTAAAAAAAGTATTAATACGCGGGTCGCGGGTTGCGGTTCGGGTAGGGTCAGAACCGCAACCCGGCCAGAACCCGAACCCGATTTTTGGCAGAATATTTGACCCGCACCCGCCCACCTACCTACATCGAAGCTGCCCAAAAGGGTGCGGGTAGGGTAGGGTCGGGCGGTTTGTGCCGGTGGGTGGGTTCTATGCCCAGCCCTATCATCATGCATAGGCCAGTACTGAGTTAATTGTGTGTCAACCAGAGTTTTAAAAGGCTGACAGAGTTTTATGAAATGTTGCACCGGTTGTGTGTCACGGTGAGGCAGGTCACGGAAGAGACTGCTGGGGTTGTGGAGCGTTGGTTTGAGTTTGAAAGGGCTGCAGAGGTTGGGGAGGTGAATTGGGATGTGGGTAAGGTGAGGGAAGAGGTTGTGAAGGGAGGAGGGGGTGGCATGGACAAGGGTGGCTCGGAAATGGGAATTGGAGAGTTACGAGGATGCAAATGGATGAAATGGGTGTGTGCCTATCATGTGGAGAGAAGCTTGTTAGCATTGATATTGATCCTAAAGAGACTGAAAACTTCACTGCTTCATTGACCAATTTGGTATGCCAAAGAGTTGAGGCTGATTTTATGCAGTTTCAGGTATGACATTATCTTTATGCTTCATTGATTAATACCGCAATTCAACACATGGAGTTACTTGAGATGTATATTATTTTGGAATTGATTCCTATAGTTGATTCTTACACATTAGTGGACAATGCTGTCAATAATTTTTATCTTGTTTCTTTATGTTACTTCCAAATTTGGAATTTGAATAACTAGATTGTCATCTTGTTGTCCATAAATATCTTAATGATTTATGTCTAGTAGTGGATATGTTGGTAGACTGCATTACTCCATATCTCTGTTACTTTATCACATGAATATTTTATCAAATGTCGATATACTCTTTTTGGTAGAGGGTGGGGTTTGAGACTGCAGTCTGCTCCTAATGGCTGCCAAGGTACTGCTAGGCCTGAGAGACTTGTTTGAAAATGATCAATGTACTTGTAATTGTATTGTTGAAAATGTATTCAATGTCTTAGTCAAAGGCCCATATTTGCTGCTTGTGTATGGTTCAAGCGATTAATACTTAAAAAGAATGGCATTCTGACTAACTTAGAAGGTGCACTCATTCAGGAGTGGCTTCAGTGACATGATCCATTTGATGCAGTTATAGATGGTGCAAATGTGGGGCTTGTTAATAGGCATAATTTCAACTTTTCCCAGGTAAGAGGGTTGCTGATCATAAGCTTTAACAGTAATATATCTCTTCCTCAAAGTTAGAATCGCATGGATATGGTTCTTAATAATTTCTTTTGGTTGTAGCTTAATTCTATTGTAAATCAGTTACATCAAATGAGGCCGTCAAAGAGATTACTACTTCTTGTTTTGCATAAAAGTCATGTTACTGGTGGTCCAGCGCAGAGTCATAACAACAAGAAGCTGTTAGAGAATTGGAAAAGGTCTGGTGCACTTTATGCTACTCCTGCCGGTTCAAATGATGATTGGTAAGATCTCTTTCCTTACAATATTTTTGTTTTGTATATGTAATGTTGATATATGAATGTAATGCTGATATCCATCTTTATGTTTCCCTTTCTGTGAGATGCATCATGCTTGCCTTGTTATCTGTGATACAGTGAACAAATACTATCACAAAACACTATAGTTTCAGCAGTCATGTTTCCCAACATAATCATCTAAGATTGTCGTAATTCAGAACCATCTTAGAAAAACTACTTCATTGCCCTTAATTTCATTGACTCATTGGATGTTCCTTTTCAAGTTTGGGATGCCAAGAGGCAAGCGCTTGTTCTCGCTTTAAAAGATTATCAATCTTCATTTTAATTGTCTTTATGAAGAGATGAAAATGCCTTTTTTTTTTTTTAATACAATTTTAGCAAGGTTCTACAATTTGTTTGGATGTTTGTGTTTCATGAGATAACTAAACTAGATCACTACTTGTATTTTAAAATATATTCCTTTGTTAAGAGGATGAGTTGGTTTATCATCTGCCTATTACATGTAAGATAGGAGGTTCTAAATTGAGGTTCAGTTGCACATCAGTATTTAATTTTAATGTTGTTGGCATGCATTTGTTGTTTAGAGCCTTCATTTTCTATGACAATTTATCCGAATCTAGGTTGTGAAAGTGTTGAGCCCTTGGGATTTTAGAAATCATTTTGGGCTAAGCAGCAAAAATAGTAGGTTGGAAATCATTGTTTAGTTCAAGGGTCCTCCATAATTAAATATTCTGAGATGGAGTGGGTCTAGGGCAAGATATCAAGGGCTTTTGAAATGAAGCTTGTTAAGTTGTTAAGATGAAGCAAAAAGATCATTTATGAAGTTGGTCTTAAAAGCTTTTGTATAGTGAAGATAACTGCCTTATAATTTGCTTTGAATGCCATTTTCTTTAAATGCCAAAGAAGGAGGACCAATCTAGTGTGGAAAGTAGTTCACGTAATCAATATCATTTTCTTTAATTTTGTTCAGCTTGATCATAACACTTTATATGTAGGTTCTAATAATAATGAAAATGCTTTTCATGTACTTTCCGCTGCCCACAAATGTGGAATGTGGGTTTTATGTTATGAGATATATGAAAGACCTCATTAGAGATCAAAGCATCCTAAAAAAATAAAATGTGAGATAAATTCCAACTTTTATTATTATATTTATATTCATGATACTTGTACATCATCTTCATTATCTAATTGTTTGTAAATAACCTCTTGCAATTTAATGAAAAAAAGACTTACACAGAAACCGAACTTGATGAAGTGCGAGTTGAATGGATTAATTTCGTCTTAAACAATATGAGTTGAAATCCAACATATAAATATGATATAACTTTCGTTCTTTAAATTGCTAATAAACTATTTATTTAGTTGGTGACGAATACACAATTACGTCAAGATTTCATTTTGGTTTTATGACTTTAAAATAGTTGACTTTTATTTACTATATTTAAATAATAGTTGGCTTTTATTTTGGTTTTATGACTTTAAAATATTTGGCCATACGCTGAAGATTTTCATTTTGGATTTGTTGATTCTATATGTATATGTCATATCTATATGATAATCCAAACATTTTATACTAGTAACAGTCAAAGTGGTTTTTCATTTTCTGTTGATGCAGGAGATGAAGAGTCGGTGTGATGAGAAAAGGTCCGACTTTATCTTTTCTAAGACTAGCGGTCTCTGAATTAATTTGTGTTTTCATTTTTGAAGTTAGAAATTGCGTGGAGAGACGCAAAATATGGTCAAAGAATTCAAGAACCTTGTTCTTCGGGTTTTTTTATTTTTTAATGCATGTAATCACAGTTAAAAACTTGTTATTAATTCCTTTGTATATACTTTTGAACATTCAATTTTCATTTATGAAATATGTGACGTTATTTCATTCAATATGTGGTTGTGATTCAAATGATATATATATATATATAGTGTGTATTATATTCTTCAAATGCGCGTACAAAAATAATATTGATTATGTTGAACCCTTTTTTTTATCACACTCATTAACTGTGATGAGAAATGCATATCATATGTGATCTTATCTCAATATTAATCACAGGTTTTATTAGATATTAATCATGCTTAAAATCTGTGATCTAAAAGTTATTAGTCACACTTAAAAGATGTGATTTGAATATTTATTATTATCACACAAAACGTGTGATGGAATCATCTTTTCAAGACATTCAAAACGTGTTACACTCTCAAAGATCACACTTTGACAAAACTTGAATTGTGTGATTAAATAACATACATCACACTTTTTTATGTGTGATGTATTTATAATTTGTAGTAGTTAAATGAGTTAAGTGGTTAATCTCATGATTTTAGAGTAATGTAATATTTGTGAACTGAGAAAGAAAGAAAATGGTTACTGTAGAAGTGGCTCATGTTGTGAAGGTTGGTAGCGGACTTGGTAAATTGAATTATGAAATGCATGAGATAATAAGATTGTTGGTCTAATTCTAGGAAGTGTTGATTGTTGTAGAATGAGTTGTACGCGTGATGTTCTGTTGATTTAATTTTACAAATCGAAATGATTCCAAAGATCACATTTTGATAAAACTTGAAACGTGTGATTAAATAACATACATCACACATAAAAAAATGTGATGTATTTATGATTTTGTAGTAGTTAAATGAGTTGAGTGGTTAATCTCATGATTTTAGAGTTATGTAATATTTGTGAATTGAGAAAGAAAGAAAATGTTTGTTGTAGAAGTGGCTCATGTTGTGAAGGTTGTTAGCGGAATTGGTAAATTGAATTATGAAATGCATGAGATAATAAGATTGTTGGTCTAATTCTAGGAAATGTTGATTGTTGTAGAATGGGTTATACATGTGACATGCTGTTGATTTAATTTTACAAATCGAAATGATGATGTATATGATGAGTTGATGGATTAAAGTTTTAAAAAGACGGTATGTTTCCTTCCAACTTGTGACCGGTAAAACGTAGTGTATTAACAGAGGTTTCTCTTTCCTTCCGATTTGTGCCCAATAAAGCGTGTGGAATGTTGGACTATATGAAGGTTTTGCTTTCCCTTCGGCTAGCCACCGGTAAAGTGTGGCACTTTGAGGTAAGTTCCAGATTTCCTTCCAAATTAGTGCTTGGTAAACTGTGTTGGAATGACATAACGAAGCCGGTTGTTAATTGTGTTGTGTTCGTCACTTGGTTGCATGATTGTGTGGATATGTGTGCTATGGTGAAATTGTGTTGGAGATTGAAAGTGTGTAATTGAGATAATTTTGTAATGAATTGAATGCTATCGCTTGTCTATATGTTAGATGTTGGTATGTACAATTGGTGTTTTATTGATTGTAATAAGTTGACAGTTGATTGTGAAATTATTGTTTTTGGGTTAAAGATTAGTATGAGTGTGTGATTGATTGGTTTAAAACTTCTTTCTAAAGTAAAGGAGATATTGAAGCATTTCATTTAAATTGCTAATGATAAGGTGAAAAGATAATAAATAAGTTTTTCCTTGAAATGTCAAGTGGAATATTTTCTTCTTTTTATTTATTTTTAAATGAAAGTATATATTTATGTATGTTTTATTTTGGATATAAAAGAGCACGTTACTTATTTAAATATCACCTGATAGTATTCATAATTACATATATCTATAGATCTCATTATTTTGCATCATTGTAAATCCCTACTGGACCTTGTGCTCATCTCAATCGTTTAAATCATTTTTTAGGTGTGGAGTTTGTTGTCTCGTTCAAGAATTCAACGAGATAGGTTACTGATGATTCGAGATTTGTTACTCACCGGTGAAAATGCCAATGTGTTATTACTCTCTTTATTATAATTATTTCATTTTTGAAATTCTCAATGTAAGCCTAAAGGCATATTTTGTAATGATCCGTACTAAACTTGTACCATTGTATTTATGCGAGAGGGAACCTTGAATATCCTATGTATTTTGTTTTGCTTCTGCATTTTATTATTTCATAAATGGACCTTAATATGAAAATTGATAATATTATCCGATTAATAAAAGTTGGAGCATTACAACTTGACAACAAAAATAAATCATTTCTTGGCCAGCTAATGCAGTAGACATAACTTGCCAACAAAAATAAGCAAATACTTGATATGCTTTTTCTTGTGAGTCAAGGAATTCGAAAAATTTATAATCCGAACTAGTTCGGGCCGGTCCAGTTCAGTTTAGTCCAATTCGATATGTTTTGACTAATTTTTTGAATTTGTGATTTGATTCTGGTTTGGAAAACTAGGGAATTGATCTTTTCAGATCAGTTTTAGATTTGAGTTCATAGTTCTGAATTAGAAATGAACTAAACCATATGTAACTTAAACCATATACATACCATACACCTTGTGCATACAATCCTACCATATGATATACAAAACCCTAATGTTATTTATTTATTTATTTTAATTATTTAGCATAATTTTAGTTTTATAATTGTTGTTGCCAAGACAAAATGCTTGTTTGATGGGAGTTTTATGTTTGCTACATGTTAAACAATATGTTTATTTACTAAATATTATGTTTGTTTAAGTTATGTTTTAAAAAATCATGGGCAGATTAATGTTAAACAATTTATGATAGGTTTAATTTTTTTGAATATGTTATATGATTTTTTTTGTGTGGATATGTTATGTAAAACCGTTGTTCCAAACCAAGTTGAACTGTCTTTAAATGATTTTATTGGAATTGGTTCCATGATTACATTGGTTTGGTTCTAATTTTTATGAAACTGTAAATAACAGATTAATCCTAGTTTTATCTCCCACCAAACCAATCCGAATTATGCTCACCCAAAAAAAAAAAAAAAAAAAAAAAGGCCAATTACTTGTACTATGAGAGAAAATGAGGATGATTAATGAAACTGCATTTCCATTCAAACCGAGCAAAAACAAAGAAAACGTTTGGTTTACTTTTTAAAAATAATATTTGGATAAAAAA